ATTCCAGTTTCAGAACTGAGTCCAAAATAAACAATTAGCATGGGGGCTGGGGCAAAGACGGAAGCCAGAAGTCTGAATACAGACCTGCATTCCCAACAACCTTGCCGAGGTGCCACCCTTCCTCATGTCTTGCTTCTCCGCATTTCCAGCTGTGTGGGAAGTTACAATTCGCCAAAAAAAAGATGTGATCGCAGCTGGGCTCAGTGGCTCAGCCTGAAATCCCGCGCTTTGGGAGGCTGAGGTGAGTGGACTGCCTGAGCCCGCGGGTTCGAGACCCACCTGGGCAACTTGGCAAGACCTCATCTCTACAATAAAAATTAAAAAATCAGCCAGGTGTGGTAGCGCACGCCTGTAATTCCGGCTACTTGGAAGGCTGAAGCAGAAGGATCGCCGGAGCCCAGCAGGTCGAGGCTGTGGTGGCCGGGAATGGCCACTGCACTCTAGTCTGGGCGACAGAGTGAGACTCCAACTCAAAAAAAAAGATATGATCGCATACGGGCTCTACAGTGTTTACAGCTAGGTATTACTGCAGCCCCAATTACACACTAGAGTCTATCAACTCCACAAAAAAAGACAACTCTTAACAAGCTGATGTGAGTTTTAAGCACATACCATTAAAAGGACAGAGACTATAAATACTGCTGATGGTTTTTAGAAGTCTGAATCCAAACTATAGTAAGGGTATTTTTAAAAGCTTATGAAGCTGATTCTAAAATTTATCCAGAAAGTCAAAGGAACTACAAGAGTCAAAACAATTTTGAAAAAGAACACAAAAAGACAACATACATTACAGATTTCAAGGCTTTATGTTATAAAGCTACAGTTATCAAGAGTGGTATTGGCCGGGCTCCGTGGCTTAGCCTGTAATCCCGCGCCTTTGGGAGGCTGAGGTGAGTGGATTGTCGAGAACCGCCTGGGCAGCGAGACCTCATCTCTACAATAAATCAAAAAATCAGCCGGGTGTGGTAGTGCATGCCTGTAATTCCGGCTACTTGGAAGGCTGAGGCGGAAGGATCACCAGAGCCCAGCAGGTCGAGGCTGCAGTGGCTGGGAGCGGCCACTGCACTCCAGTCTGGGCGACAGAGTGAGACTCCAACTCAAAAAAATAAATAAATAAAATAAAATAAAATGTTTAAAAAAAAGTGGTATTGGTGAAAAAACAGACACAGACTAATGAAAATAAATGCAAAAGAAGAAAAAGCCCGGAACAGGCCAATACATATAAGGTCAATTGATGCCTGACACATTTGCAAAGGCAATTCAATAGAGAAAAAGCACTGTTTTCAACAAGTGATGCTGGATCAACAAGACATCATATGCTTCCCTCCCATACAAAAGTTAATTCAATATGGATCACAGCCTAAATGTGAAACCTAAAATTATAAAACTTCTAGGAAAAAGTCTTTGCAACCTTGGGTTTGGCAGACACAAGAATGACACAAGAAGTACAAACCATAAAATATAAATTAATAAAATAAACTTGATCAAAAATTTAAAACTCTGCTTTTTGAAGACACTATTACAAAAATGAAAAGACAAGTCATGAACTAGAAGAAAATATTTGCAAAGTACATATGTCACAAAGGACTTGCATCTAGATAAAGAACATTTAAAACTCAACAAGGAAGCAGAAAGACCAATTTAGAAAAGAGGCAAAAGACTAAAGCAGACACTTTATCAAAGAAGATATAAGAAAGATACAGAAGCATATCAGGAAATACCCAATACCATTCATCATTAAGGACAGCACTACACAGCTATTAGATTAGCAACAAAAACCTGGCAATACCAAATGCTCGCAAAGATGTAGAGCAGCTGAAACTCTCATACACTGCTGATGTGAAATGACACAGCCAAGCTATAGTTTTGATGTTTGTCTCTTCCAAATCTCATGTTGAAATCTGACTCCCAATGCTGGAGGTGGGGCTTAGTCAGAGGAGTCTGGGTCATGGGGGTGAATTCCTCAAAAATAAATTAATGTCTTCTCTGTGGTTAGGGGCAGTGAGTGAGTTCTCACACTTTTAGTTCCCGTAAGAGATGGTTGTTAGAAAGATCTCACGTTGCCTTTCTCTCAGTCTCTCCCTTGCTTCCTCTCTTGCTGTGTAATCTCTGCATACACTGGCTCCTCTTCATCTTCTGCCACAAGAGGAAGCAGCCTGAGACCCTTACCAGATGCCCAATTAAACCTTCCAGCCAGCAGAACTATGAGCTAAATAAACCTCTTGTCCTTATAAATTACCCAGCCTCAGGTGTTTCCTGAGAGCAACACTAAATGGACTAAGACAAGTCATTCTGAAAAACAGTGTGGCAGCTTCTTACAAAGTCAAACATACATATACTTGAGGATCTAGCAATTCCACTGCTGGGTATTAATCCAAGAGAAATAAAAACATATGTTCATACAGAAACCTGTAGAAGAACAATTATAGTAGCATTATCCATAATCACAAAAAAGAAACACAAATGACAATGTGACTCAATAATAAAAAGGAACAAGTTATTAATATACACAACAACACAGATGGATCTCAAATTCACTATACTAACGAAAAAAGCCTAACTCGAAAGGCTTTTGAGTTTCCATATGACTACATTTATATGAAATTCTGGATAAAACAAAATCATTGAGACAGAAAACAGATCAGTGAACACCAGGGCTGGGAGTGAGCGAAGGCCACAGCAGAATCAAGGGGTGTGATGTTACTGTTCTATATTCATTTGTGAAAGCACCCCAAAAAGGGTGAATATTACTATATGTAAATTATGCCTCAATAAACCTAATAATAATAAGCTTAGCTTAACACTAAGTCTTAAGATCTGTTGACATGAGAATATAAAAATCTTGAAAGATGAGTACACCCTATCTGCCTCAAGCACGTTAAGTCAAATGGATTTAATAAGCAAAATTTTGTTTTGTTTTGTTTTGTTTTAGGTCTGTCACAACTTCTGAACTATAGGGGACAAAAGGCCCATTCTCTGCCTCTGATTCTGCCAATTAAGTGACACACACAGTAATATACTATCTTCACTTTATATTTCTGCTTCTGAGTGTATTATCTGTAAAATGAAAAAAGTCATTCCTAATCTCAAGGTGGCTGCAGCTATCGAGAGAAGATGTACGAAGTATATGGATGAGAGACAGAATATAGCGTCAGTCGATCAAATGTAGACACTGCATACTATTACATCAAATTCAGTCAGGTTCAAGACTGAAATTTCAACCTAAATAATAAAACCAGTCATTACAAATGGTAACAAGGAAGGAAGAAAATAAATTCTCTGGAGCAGAATTAAGAAAGTAAAATAAGGCCAGAGACCCGTAATTCCATCACTTTGGGAGGTAGAGGCAAGAAGACTGCCTAAGTTCAGGGGTTCAAGACCAGCCTGGGCAACTTGGCAAGACCTTGTCTCTACAATGAATCAAAAAATTAGCAGGGCGTGGTGGAGCATGCCTATATAGTTCCAGCTCCTTGGAAGGCTAAGGTCGAAGGATTGACTGAGCCCAATAGGTTAAGGCTATGGTGGCCATGAGCATGCCACTGCACTCCAGCCAGGGAAACAAAGTGAGACTCCAACTCAAAAAAAAAAATAAAAGTAAAATAGACAACAGGAATCACAAGGATGTTTTGGGGAATACACTGGGCCTTTGGGCCTTTTGTAAATGGTTACTTTCTTTGAAGAGGAGCACAAAGATGCCCTTTTCTAAGAGATAGTATTACTGTAGGTTATCTTTGCATATTAATAAATGCAATATTTTGTAAAAGAAAAAATTAAAACTATGAAAACTGTGCAACCTCTTTGGAAGACAGTGTGGCGATTTTTGAAAGAACTAGAAATTGAAAAAAAAAGAAAAAAAATTAAAACTTATCAAATGCTTGCTATGTGTCAGCACTAAGTGCTTTAACGTTATTAACTAATTCAATATTCACAAGAACCAAAAGATGGCACCAACTGTGCTTTGGGAAGTTATTTTCTAAGATTCACAGGCCTTAGGAATCACTTGAAAGGATCATCTATCTTCCATATCCAACTTGTAGGCCCCAATCCTTACATAAGAAACTCTCATTTTGGCTTAATAAAAGTAAAGAACTAAAACGTCTACTCACTTTGCTATTAGAGATCATTTGCCATTAGAGTTCGCTGTTTAAGACCTTAAAGTTTTCACATATAAACCACAAGCCCCACAGAGCAGACACTGAGCCGTGGAGCACCTTGGGGATAATGGTCGTGTGTATACACACGCGTATGTGTCCCTGGTGTAGATCAGAGCTAAACACATGCCTCAACCATACAAGAGAGGGCCCTTGCCCTGAGCCCCATGCTTTAGAAAGCCTCCTTCAACTTTATTACTTCCCACGGCCCAAAGATATTGTAGAACCTTCTAGAATACATATGAGAATACCCCAAGTTCTGAGACTTTCTAGCCACATCTCTTCAAACGGCTTCCAGGGTTCACCCTGCTGAGACGACCTTGCCACCAGGGCACGTGCTGTCAGGTATGTGTGGGACAACCAAGGGGACTTACATGAAAGGAGACTGGACATGGACGCGGCCCCAGCCACTCAGTGCACCCCAGGTCCCCAAAGGGGCAGGATGGACTCAAATCTCTGCCTCAACTTTCTGGTGGAGAATTTGGAGGAATCTAAGAGGTGACCAGCACCAGCTACGGAAAAAAGGAGACAAAGGCTAAGACACAGGCGCTGGCAGGTGTGTGAGCGCTTGCGTGGGATTAAGGGGAACGTGGCAATCAGGCTGAGGCCATGAAGCAGCTCAGCATCCACTGGCGTTTCCAAGGTACCAGTGGAGTTTCCCAGGCACCCACTGGCGTATCCCGGCCCTGCGCTGCAGGGGAGCAGGTCCACGTGTGCGGGGGGGCACAGGATGTTCAAAGATGCCCAGGCGAGGACTGGTGCAGTGTGCGCGGCCATCAGCTGATCGCCGGAAGCCAGTCGAGAGCTGCGGGGCCAGGGCGGGGCGCGGCCGACGTCACCGCACGGCCGCGCGTCACCGCCGCTTGCCGCATCCGCAAGATCTCCCCGGACCAGCTCGGGAGCAGGGCCGCTGCGGGAGCCACCAGATCTCTGCGGTCCTCGTCCATCATGGCCGACTCGGAGAACCAGAGCCCCGTGGAACCCAGCCAGGCGGCGGCGGCGGCGGCGGCGGAGGCTGCGGAGGAGGTAATGGCGGAAGGCGGCGCGCAGGGTGGCGATGCGGATGGCGCGGCGGGGGATGCGGATGGCGCGGCCGGGCAGATGGCCGAGGAGCCCCAGACCCCCGCGGAGAGTGCGACCAAGCCCAAAAATGACTTCATCGAGAGCCTGCCCAACTCGGTGAAATGCCGGGTCCTGGCGCTCAAGAAGCTGCAGAAGCGATGCGACAAGATCGAGGCCAAGTTTGACAAGGAATTCCAGGCCCTGGAGAAGAAGTACAACGACATCTACAAGCCCCTGCTCGCCAAGATCCAGGAGCTCACCGGCGAGATGGAGGGCTGTGCGTGGACCTTGGAGGGCGAGGAGGAGGAGGAGGAGGAGTACGAGGAGGAGGAGGAAGAGGGAGAGGAGGAGGAGGAGGAGGAGGCTGCGGCGGAGGCTGTTGCGGGGGCGGCCGCGCGCGCGAAGGATGCGGGTGCCCACGAGATGCCTGACGATGCCAAGAAGTAAGGGGCAGGGATGGTCGCGGGGGGACCGGCGGAGAACACAGCCTTTTTTTTTTTTTTTCCAAATATGGGTGGACTCGAGGCTCAGGTTTTTGACCAAAATGCAATGTGAATCCGTTCAGACATTCCTCAAAGAGATCAATTAGATCCTGGTCAGCCCGATTCAAATTTGACTTTCATTTCTAACCTGATAAGATCTATCTACCAAAAGGCGTTGAAGGAAACCAAATTAAGTTTAACATTATCTTCCCATGACTTCTTCGGGGAGGGCTAGAACGGAGGCTCACGAGGGGTGTGAGCGGATGCAGAGAACGTCACCTTAAACCCCATTCATCACGCGGTCATTACGCGGCACTCGGAACCCCCGAGCCAAGACGCACTCCTGATGCCTCATCCTTGCATTTCGTGAGTCCTGACATTTCGCAGTGCAGAGGAAGCAGAACCCCAGGAAAACGTCATCGCAGACTTTGCTCTTGTAACCCAGACAGCAGCCTGACGCTTCAGAGAAGGGTGATGGCATAGGGGAAGCCTGCGACGCAGATCACGCACCGCTGTTAACGGGGCCGGGAAAACTGCCATTTCAAGTTCTGAATAACTGAATGTAGGGAAACAACATGGTTCCAAGAGAGGGCGTGAAGCCTGTATAATATCGTCAACATGTGTATTCATTAGTTATGATCTCATGTTTTATGTGTTTTCTTGGTGGTGTCTATTTACAGAGGCGTAAAAAATATCCCAAATGTTTAAGTATTAAATCCCCTTACCTAGTGTTTTATTAGTATTAATTTACTTGAAGAAATGTAGAATGTAGCAAGCTCTGTAAAGCATGTGTATCCAGTGTTATGTCGTTTGATCCTGTGAAGTCTTTCTGTCATGTAGCTTTTAGGGTATAGCTGTGAAAATCATCAGAACCCTTCATTGAAGCTAATGTTTGGAAAAATATATACTTGAAGAACTAATCCAAGTGTGTGCCCCTAACCCCAGCTCAGAAGTAGAAAGGGTTTGAGTTTGCTTGTATTAGCTGTGCCTTCATTATTTTGCTATGTAAATGTGACATATTAAATATAAAATGGTGCATAATCAAATTTTACTGCTTGAGGATAGACTGGCATACAGAAAGGATTTTTAGGAAGAACATATTTAATGTAAAGACTCTTAGCTTCTTTGTGGGTTTTGAATTATGTGTGAGCCAGTGATCTATAAAGAAACATAAGCATAAAGTTGTTTACCACTGTGGTGTTAATAAAACAATATTTTCAAAAAAAAAAAAGACTTGGTACTCTGACTGCCTATATTCAAATCCTAGCTCTGCCTTTTAGTAAGGCACCCTGGGCAACTCAGCTAACACTCTCAGTGCTCAGTTTCTCCTCTCTATAAAAAGGAATACAATTAGTCCCTTCCTCATGTGTTACTATAAAGAACAAATTAATAAATGTAAAGCCTGTAGAACAATGTCTGACACACAGTTAAGTGCTGAATAATTTTCAGCTATTACTATTACATGAAGTATAAAGACAGATTAGAAAGTTAATCCTCCTTCTCTCCCATTACAAAAGGGGAGAACATGGACGTTATTGTGGCCCTATGTTTATGGTTCCTTATGATGAAGAATGTGGCCTTTAATTCAGAAACACAAGAAATTCAAAATAAACTATCTCGATTTTGTTTCTTCAGTATAAAATCAGGTTTTGATTTTTTCCCCAGAAAGGAAAAAGACTATTAATGTGACATTATAAATATATTAAAGATGCTATTCTTTAAAAATATTTGGGCATTCTGATGAAGCAAAACAATTTTTTTTTTAACTAGATTCCAAAAAAAATTGAAATTTGATGCCATTTTCTTCCATTTCCCTTAAGGGTTAAAATTACAAAGAAGCAAAATTACTGCTTTTCTGTAGGGAATGGAAGTACTGACCTGTTGCTACTGTGTAAGGGCCTGTGCAACAATTGAGTACAAACAACCTGAAGGTAATGTTAATCTTCCTTATGGCCAGGCCAATCAAAAAAGGAAATTAAGATATTATATTACATAGAAGTTCTAATAATCATGATTACCTTAGTAGAGAAAAAATGTAATAAGATTTAATATTCATTTCTCCAGGAATGAGAGAAGCCTCATTTCATATTTTCATTTAATATGTAGATCAAGCAAAATAGAAAAAATGACTAAGTTGTGACTAAAGGTGTAATTACTAGGAAAATTTTTTTGCAGGCAATTTTTTTTTGCAGGAAAATTTTTATTGTTACTTCAACTAAAAACAATTCAATTCAGTAAGTTTGATGAACTTATCAGTTACCAAATAAATAACCAAAATTCAATAACTGTTTCTAGGTACTAATAATGATCAAAATATATAGGAAAGACTCTCTTTCATAGTAGAAATAAGAAATCAAAATATTTACAAAAATCTGTAATAAAAAATGTGTATATCCTATGTGAAAAGAAAAAACAGAAATGTAACAAGCCTTTGGATAATATGACTGAATATCACAAGTGTCAGTTCTTCCCAAATTAACTTTTAATTTATCAAAATTCTAATCAAAACCCAAATTGGATCTGGAACTTAATATAATTACCATAATGTTCACCTCTAAGAACAGCTAAAAAAAAAACAAAACCTTGTAGCAATTTGTAAACAGTTTAGATTTTTACCTCAGACTACAGATTTTTTTAAAATGGTTTTTGGGGTTTTTGTTTTGTATTTTACTGTCCTGTTCTACCATGATGGAAATTGTTTTGCATTGAAGAAGATATATTAAATGTCTATTACTAGACAGAAAAGGCAAAGACTAGATTAATATTAGACCAAAAGAAATATCAGACATGGCAACACAAAAATTAAGTAATTATACACAGTTAAAGACATACACTCAACATTTTCAAAAGCAAAAATAGAATAAAATTGACAATACATATGGGTGACAAAAGGATAATAATCTTAATAGAGTTCATACAAATCATAAGACAATTAGTCTTGATAGAGAAATATGTAAAGGACATCAGAGACTATTGTAAAAAGAAGACAGAAAACCTTATTTGAGGCAAAAAGACACATTCTTTAGCCCATGGCACCAGGCAAGCCAGGCTCAAGCAAGATCCAGAGACATGCATCCCCAGCTGTGTGCCCTGGCCAGCAATCAGTCTTCTGTTTACGGTAAGACTTTAGCTACCGGGTTTTCTAGCCACCACTTGTACCCCTGTTGGTCACTTCTCTAAGGATACAGGGATATTTATGATGCCCTTCATGATAGCAAGTGACTCCTACCATTTCCTAATGGGGCTGTCCTCTATTCTGTTTCCCAGACTGCTTACTGGAGAGTTCCTCAGGCAGCCATAAAACCTGCGACATTAACATCCAGCAGGATACCCTCGCTTCAAAGCAAACCACACACTGTCACTCATAAACCATTTTTAACCTGTTATAGGACAAAATGAGTCAAAGCACAAAATAACTGGCAGACAGAAAGGCAGCATGTGATGCACGCTCAGCCAGCTCCCTTAGTATCATGCAGAAAGCTGTAGCACACAGATGCCACTGTGCAGCAGGCACAGCATGCCACAGCCACTGCCCTAAGTGTTTGTACTCAGTGCATACACAGAGACACATGTACACAGACACATACCCATGTACACACACGTATACAAATCATGCATACACAGATGAACACATGTACACACATGCACGTAACGCATACAGAGACACATGGCATTCACATGTACACATGCGTGTGCAAACCATGCAAATACAGACATGTATGCATGTACACATGTGTACATAAATAATGCATACACACAGACATGTATATGGGTACACACATGTACACAAACCATGCATACACAGACATGTACACATGTACACATACACAAACACTTCTTTATTGAGGTGAAATTCACATAACATAAAATTAACCATTTCAAGGGGAACAACTCAGTGGCATTTTGTACATTCACAATGGTGTGTCTATTTAATTCATTTTTTAAAAAACAACTATTTTAGAGATAAATAGCAGTTAAATGGATTGATATTGTATAGAATATGTAAAGTAGCCTATATGTGAAAAAATGCAAAACTTTCAAAAATGAGATTGAATTTCTTATTAAATCAGTTTTTTAAAAAGAGAGAAGGCACACAGTGTTTAAAAGGACTAAGCGAAATGGATACTTTCATACACTGATGATAAATAAGCAAGTATAATTCATTAGCAAAATCAATTTAGCAAAAATATCAACAGATTCCAAATGCTACACCCTTTAATTCAATTTCACACTTGGGATCTTATCATTAAATAGCAATTTTAAAAGCAAAAACTCCCTTAATACACAAAAGATATCTGATATCATCTTATTAAAAATGGTGGGGGTGGGGGAGAGAGACAGAGAAAAGAACACACAAACAGGTCAAGAGTGAAGAAGCAGAAAATACACATTCACATAGCAGACCACACACCCATCCTTTACAGGTGTCCTCTTTGTAATATAATCACTGTCTTCACCTAAGTTCAAAAATTCAGACATTCAATTTCATACGTATACAGTATGTTTATAACCATGTCAACTTTGTTTTAAAACAAAGGGGAAACAGCCAACACTTCACAGTCATGTTTCTTCCGGGGTGCGGAAGGGGGCAGAAGCTCAGGAGGTCAGGCCTTGGTCTCTACAAGGCAGCACATTTATGCTCGTGAGCACAACCCATCTCTGTCTCAACCACCAGGCTCTGAACCCCGCACTCCCAGCTGTGTAACCTTTGTCAAGTGACTTGGGCCTCTTAGTGCCTCAGTTTTCTCATCTGTAAAATGGGAAGGCTTATATGTAAAGTACATGGTAAGCACTCAAGAATTGTGCCGGACCTTTTAATTATGTGCCATTCCTGGAATAAAAACCTGTAATAAAAAATGTGCAAATATAGTGCAAATCTTAAAGACGGTGTCCTTTGCAGACTACATGGGAGATCAGCAAGTCTGGCAGCCTCTGAGCATCAGCAGGTCTTAAGAGCTAGAAGTGCTCGCCATGCATGCGTTTTATTCTCAGGTTCTTACCATGGAATCTACATGCCCTATAGAGCACTTATCTTAATCCTGGCAGTTCTCACTGGATGGTTCTTTTACTATTCTGCGTGTATGTGTGTATGTGTGTGGGTATATGTGTGTGTGTCTTTTAAGACGGGGAAATGGGAAGATAGCAATTGCATTTCATTTAAAGGCATTGCACTGAGGTAAATCTGGGGGAATCTAGAACTATATGCAGGTATTTCATTAATGGTAACAACACCATGTTACAGAGTGTGAAAAGTGCTTAGCCCAGAGCAGTCATGTGATACAGTATCATCCAGATGTGACTACCTGTTGTGGTAAGATTTGGTTGTGATGTAGCCACTAGTCATCAGCCACAGATGTTCTTTTACCTGGATGCCTCCCACTCATTTGACAGTGTAGCTCTTGTCCAAGGATAGAAAGCAATTTTAAAACCAAATTGGATGGATTAAATTATGGGTACAGACTTGACATTCCTCTGGCATTTCTCCCTAGGGCAGCCATGGCATTACTTACTGTTAACAAAAACAGCTTCAGTACCAGCAGTATCCATGTATACACTGCCTAAGTTAAAAACTCAGCAGGTATTATTCTCACAGCTCTTCATTTCATTTCCTTAGTCATATAATACAGGACCTCCAATGATGAGATGGTAGCATCACTGAGGAAGTAACAACCAGAATGACTCATCTTTTACAACTTCACACCACCTTGCTTACCAGGATCTCTACGCACTTTGCTGATAAGATTTCTATTTTGTGCAGCATAAAATGAAAAGAAAAACGATTTATGTATGTCTTTTTCTGGTGTTTGCTAACCATAGCAGCTATATTAAATAGCGTGGCAGTAACCACCCTAGGTCCTTGGAAGTGGCTCGGCGGTGCTAGGGACTGAATGTGTATGTTCTCCCCAAAATCCCTAGGCAGAGACCCTGCCCTGCAATGTGATGGTATTAGGAGGTGGGGCCTTTGGGAAGTAATTAGGATTAGATGAGGTGAAGCTGTGAGGGTAGAACCCTCAGGAATGGGATGAGTGTGTTGGAAGGGTCCTGAGAGAGCTTGCTTACCAGGGCTGCCTTTCATCATCCAGGACCCGAGAAGCCAGCAGAACGCAGCCTGGAAGAGGGCCCTCACCAGACCCAGTCATGCTGCCATCCTGACCTGGACTTTTGGTCTCCAGGACTGTGAGAAATGCATTTCTGTTGTTTACTAGCCACCCAGTCTCCTGAACAAAGATGAACAAGCAACTGTGACAGTAATAAGTTCCTCTACTTATCACCGAGTGACACAGACATGTCCAGCAGTCCCTAGAGCAGCATGGATGAGCTCACTATGTGTTCAGTGAGTGCTAGTGTCTCTGAAAAGTCAAAACCTAAACTTCCAATGAACACTGAAGCTGTTTCAGACTTTTTTTCTTTTGGGAGGGGAAGAAGGGTGGAGGGAGTCAAAGTCTCACTCTGTCACCCAGACTGAATTGCAGTGATACCATCACAACTACTGCAGCCTAAACCTGCTGGGCTCAGGCAATCTTCTGCCTCAGTCTTCCAAGTAGCTGGAACTACAGGCATGTGCCACCATGCCTGGCTAATTATTTATTTATTTATTGCAGAGACAAGGTCTCACCAAGTTGCCCAGGCTGGTTCTGAACCCCTGGGCTCAGGCAATCCTTTTGCCTTTACCTCCCAAAGTACTGGGATTATAGGCATAAGCCACCATGCTTGGCTCCAGACATTAATCTCTAACAGAGTATATTGGCAATCAAAATTTCTCTGCCTGAAATGACAAACCAGATTTATCTACCACTTTACAGAGCACCTTCCATTCTCATGCCCTCTTCTCTACTTTCTAGTATCCAGATCTTAGTGGGCTTCCAAACATAGCTCTCTCCCATATATCTGTCCTCCCAGATGCATCTGCCCAAGCCGGTTTCTCTGACGCCTTCAGATTCAGTCACTCAATTTAGTCTGCATATTCCATTTATGGGTACATGTGAGAACAGCTTATCGCCCTAAACAAACTGTGTCATGTTTTAGTATTCCTCACAGTGTCTCTTGCAACTGTTGAGTCAATTAATGGTTGATTCAAAGAAATGTCTGCTGAATAAGGAAAAAGACAGTGAGGGTAACAGGGAGAGAGAAGCAGAGAGACAGAGAGAAAAACTCAGACTCAGAAAGAGACAGAGATAGAGAACAAAAAAGAGACAAAAAGTACACTAAGAGAAATAACTTGATATAAGATATGAAAAGGAGTTGTAAGTGTTAACAACTGCCTTAACTGCAGACTGTGTCATAAATCGCCCATGCCTAAGCCAAATCACTCATTTCCCAGTCTTTATGTCACACCCACATACTAGGATGACTCACCGAAGTACTGGAACATTCTGAATGTTCCCCTTCCTCAGGCTGCCCACCTTCCCATTGCTAGCTTCTAACACATGATGCACACATCATCATGCCTGATATCTGATGCAAAAGCTAAGACATCCTTTAAAAGACTAAAGTCTATGTATGTACCCACTTAGACCCACTTAGGTACACACATACATATACTATGTTATAAAGCAATCACCAAAACCAAGAGGGAAGACAAATCATCCAAGACTACAAATCCACTTGGTGATCTGCCACAAATGTCTCAATTCTAAAAGCACTGTCAGACTATATGGAATAATAAGCCTGCTCCTACTAAGAAAAAAATTTCCTGCAAATAAACGATCTGCTGTTAACAAAAGTACCAACAATATACAGATAAAGGAAACTGCTTTCAGTATCAAGAGATGCTTATCAAGTAACAGCTCTGACTGAACACTTTGAGACAAGACTAGCCTTCATATGAGATTTCTAGAGCCAAGGTAGTATTATCCTCTGAAGCCATTTTTGTTGGGTGTTCACCAGATTCTGTGTTCACTTAACTCTAACATAGCAGCTCATACTTTGCCCACAGCTGAAGCTTCCTGGACAGTCTGGAAGGTTTATATGTCAAAAATGGTTACTAAATGTTGCATTAGATCATACTATTTTCTAGTTGTTATTTAAAATGCCAGAGAAGGGAAGAAGTCTGTCAGTTGTTCTATCATTCCTATTTTCAAAAGGGAAGATTTACAGAAGGAAACCAAGACAGATCACTTGGGTAGAGTGAATTTCCTAGGATCTCTGACAGCACCCTTGCAACCATGCAGAGGAAGCAGCCAAAGGAAGCCCAGAGCGAGTAGTTTTTCTCCCTGCATGCTTACAAACTGAAGCTAGTTTCTCTATATCTGTAACTTTTTCCACAGCTCCCATGAAACCTTGCTTTCCCTCCCTCACAACCCCCATCTCTCATCTCTCCTCACCCTCTACTCGCTCTTCCTTAAAGTCAAGAGGCTTTCACTTTAGCCTCTGTGATCATGATGCTCAAATCCTTATCTCAAGGAGACACCTCTAAGGATACACAGTTCCCTTGTCTGTGTTTTGTGTTTGTTTTACTTGACCATTTCCTTCTTGGTGGTTCTTGTATGCAACCTCGAACTCCCTGGTGATTGAAGTTGGCATAAGTAATTAAACTAATAAAATTTTCACATAAGACTTCTTTATTGAGAGATGTAAATTTTCTACTCTAAACATACTGCCTGGGTATCACAAAGACATGTCAAAATCAACATATTCAAAATGGAACGTTCCCTCCTCAAACCTGCTTTATAAAGTCTGTTTCCTATTAGTCAGTTGTTTGAATTAGAAACTTCAGCATTGTTATCAATACATGTCTTTCTCATGCTATTCATATACAAGGGGGTCCCCCCAAAAAGGGAATTATTTTTTTGGAGGGCAGGCCCCCTGTAGTTCAGACATTCCCCCGCTAGGTTCCAGGAACCCATCAGCATCAGTGCACCAGCTAGCATTGTGAGAGGCTGCGTTCAGCTTCAGTAACATTTTTTTGGATTCTTTCAACATGTTTGCCCATTTGATGATGGGTGGTTTACAAATGCGCCTGCCCACACTGCTCTGTGTGCTCAGCAGGTTTTGACCCAAAACGGCATGACCCCTATGCCCCACCCTCCCTGTTTACCCAATCTCAACCTGAGCAACTTGGTTTTTTGGTTTCCCCAGAGGAAAAAAGTTCTAAACGGGAAACGTTTCACCAATGTGGAAGAGGTAAAACAAAAAACAGCAGCATTCAAAGGCATCAAAATTGACAGTTCAAAAACTGTTTTGAGCAGTGGGAAAAGTGTCTCAATAGGTGCACCGCATCAAACGGAGACTGCTTTGAAGGTAACTGAAGTTTAAACAAGTAAGAATAAATCCACAATGTTTTATAAATAAATTCTGGGTTTTTATCTCATATAACGAGATACTAGCTCCTATTGATTCTATAGCCCACACATGAACAACTCAGTGTTCTACTACTCTCATTCTGGCCTTCACCATCCTTTAAAAAGTCTTCGAATGGGTCTCCTTGCACATGGTCCATTTCTACACAATCACTGAAGTCATCTTTCTAAAACAGAGACCAACCATGTCCTAGTCCAAGCCCCATTCAAGGCCTTAGGGACCTCCACTCTGACGCTATCGCACCCACTCTTCATCTATCACTAGTCCTCACCCCACAAGTACTCAACAATCTCTGTCATGTGTCAAACTGGAGAGTCCTGACTCACATTATTCCCTGTACCTAAAATGTTTTCCCCCAGTGCATTCTTCAGTGTCCCCCAGTGCAGCCTCTCACTCTAGTTTCATGGCACCTGGCCTAGGACTCCTTTAAAACATATCATCCATCTGCAATCATTGAGTATATTAGCCCTTCTCAACTAATCTAGAGTTTTTTTTTTTTTCCCTGAGTCTGAGTCTAGGCTGGAGTGCAGTGGCATGCTCATGGCTGCCACAGCCTCAACCTACTGGGCTCAGGCGATCCTTCCATCTCAGCCTTCTAAGTAGCTGGAACTACAGGCATGTGCCACCACGCCTGGCTAATTTTTTTATTTATTGTAGAGACAAGGTCTCACCAAGTTGCCCAGGCTAGTCTCAAATCCCTGAACAATCCTGAGCAATCCTCTTGCCTCAGCCTTCCAAAGTGCTGGGATTACAGGCTTGAGCCACTGCGCTCGGCCAATCTTGAGCTTCTTGAGAATGGATGCTATTGCTCTCCTATACCTAGCAACATGCCTGGCACACAATAGGCACTCGTTTGTAAAGTGAATTCATTTATATGAGGATCATCATAATTTATAAGAAATTCAATAAAATCAACTATCTTTTCTCATTTAAACAGATAACTCAGAGAATGTGAGCCATCCTGAGAAATCAGATGTAGTTAATTTTCATGAGGGAGAAAGAATAACTTAATTTAAAACTCATACTACAACTTCTTGAGCAGTAAAATAACAGTAATAGTAAGCATTTTTATAACATTCACTTATTTAACACATTTTTTTTAGGATTTTTGCTAGATACTAGAAATCCTGTGCTAGACGCTAAGAATTCATTCATTCTGAAATATTTTCCTATAAATTATCTAACTTATTCTCACAACCATCCCATGAAGTAGAGAGGGCAGTTATTAAAATCATGATTTTATGATGAGAAAACTGAGACCAAGCAGTTGACGTAACCTGCTCGGTATCAAAGTCAATAACAGTATATCTAGAAATAAAAGTTATCCCCTGATTTCAGGTCTGGTACTTGCCCTACTATTAAAAACTCTAAAATCTGCAAATTCTTGTTCTATCACCCCTACCGCTTCTGCAGAGGGGATTAAAATGTAATTTTAATCTTGGTCTTAAAAGTCAAACTGCCGAGAAATGAAGCAGCAATGTCTGCAACAGTCCAAGGTCAAGACTAACCTGTTATCCTTGCACACAGTCACTTTGTCTCCTCCTGGTATCAGCTTTTTCTGTTCTATCACTCCATAGCTTTCTCGGCAGATCTATATTTAAGGTGGAACAGAGAAATGCTTCAATTTTGTTTGCCACTGATCTTTCTAGAACCCAAATGCCTGTGAGAGGCTTTAGGAACAAATGTAGCTTCACGGCTATTTATTACTACAGAAAATTCTTGAGAAGATCATGAGAACTTGAGTCAGAAAACAATAGCACCTTAAAAAACATCTCTTTTTTTTGAGTTGGAGTCTCACTCTGTCGCCACCCCAGTGTCAACCTGCTGGGTTCTGGCGATCCTTTGGCCTCAGCCTTCCAAGTAGCTGGAACTACAGGTGCATGCTACCATGCCTGGCTAATTTTGTATTTATTGTAGAGACAAGGTCTTGCCAAGTTGCCCGGGCTGGTCTCAAACCCACGGGCTCAGGCAATCCACTCACCTAGTGCTGGGATTACAGGCTGAGCCACTGAGCCCGGCCATCTTTTGTTTTAAGACATGGAGTGTCCAATAAATACAATCAAAGAGAAATGACATGAACTCTAGAAAAGAAATATCATGCACATGTCAGGAATAGAGAGGATTAATGCTTCAGTAATTTTCATAAGTACACAGATCATTCATTCATTTATTCAACACATTCACTGGACTCCTGTAATAGTCAAGGCACTATAACTAAAATAATGTGATTCAGAGAAGCATCTGACGTCATCCTTTGAAGAAGAATGCAGAACATGGAGAAGAACTCATGTTAATAATGACTTGTAAGCATGATGAAAGAGACAGCCACAATCAAAAGTGAACTGTGGAAACGCTTACCGTGAAGTTGAGGCAGAAAGTCTCCTCTACATCCTCTCCAGGATAATCTAAAAGCTCTTGAAGACTCCTAATCACAGAATGAGAGAAAAAAAAAAAGGCAAATCAGACACTGCAATAGTGTTTCTAGTTCAGCCACATGTTTAGGTCACCGGCAGGGAAAAACTATGAAAGAAGATTCTAGAATGAACAAAAGAATTATGGCAGTAGACCTGTAAAACATTCATTAATTGTTCTATCTTCTTACTGGCAAATCTTACGGGATTTATGAACACATTCAGGGACTTTTAAAAAAGTCTGACAGACTTATGTCCTCTTAACCCTGCTATGGCTTGGAAGTGTGTGTGTGTGTGTGTGTGTGTGTGTGTGTGTGTGTGTGTGTGTGTGTGTGTGTGTGTAGAGACAGTACTTCAGGGGCCTTCCAGACTGGCTTCAATGGCTTATGCATTAGTAAAATGAGAGAGAGAAGGAGAGAGAGAGAGAGAGAGAGAGAGAGAGAACACGCACGCGCGCACACGCACAGAGCTGTCTCATCTACATAGGAATCAACACTAAGGAACACTGAAGAAAATGTGCTCTTAAAAGAAGAATATGTTTATGCCAACAACAGTCACACCCTAGATCTCAAGAAAATACATTCTAGCTGGGCTCGGTGGCTCAGCCTGTAATCCCATGCCTTGGGAGGCTGAGGTGAATGGACTGCCTGAGTCCGTGGGTTTGAGACCCATCTGGGCAACTTGGTGAGACCTCATCTCTACAATAAATCAAAAATTAGCCGGGTGTAGTGGCGCACACCTGTAGTTCCAGCTACTTGGAAGGCTGAGGCGGAAGGATCGCCGGAGCCCAGCAGGTCAAGGCTGCGGTGGCCAGGAGCAACCACTGCACTCCAGTCTGGGTGACAGAGTGAGACTCCAACTCAAAAAAAAAAAAGAAATGCTGTTTGCAGAGAGGTTGATTAATGGGTACAAATATACAGTTTGCTAGAAGGACTAAGACCTAGCATTTGGTAGACTAGTAGGGTGAGTATAGCTTATAATAATCTATTGTGTATTTCAAAATAACTAGAAGAGCATAATTCAAGTGTTCCTAGCATACACTGATTTGAGATATAACACAAACTATATAATGTATTAAATTATCACATGTACTCCCCAAATATGTACATCTACTATGTATCAGTAAAAATATTTTTTAATTAAAAAAAGAAAGAAGGCTGGGTGTGGTGATTCACACCTGTAATCCCAGCATTTTAGGAGGCCAGGATAGGAGAATTGCTTGAGTCTAGGAGTTTGAGACCAGCCTGGGCAACATAGTAAGACCTCATCTCTACAAAAAAATAAAAGAATCAGCCGAGTGTGGTGCCGTGTGCCTGTAGTCCCAGCTACTAGGAAGCTGGGGCAGAAGGAATACCTGAGCCCAGGAGGTCAAGGCTGTTGTGGGCCACGATTGTGCCACTGCACTCCATTCTGGATGACAGAGTGAGACCCTGACTCAAAAAATAAAATTAAGAGGAAAAAAAAAAGGAAAAAGAAAATACAGTATTTGCGGGCTGTGAAACCTGGGGAGAAGAAGGGCTGACTTTTCATATCCCTGGGTTTCTGCAGGGCCACTGTGGGACTTGAACACCCGTGGATTCTGTTATCTTCAGGGGTTCCTGGGACCAACTGCCCTCAGACATCAAGGGGTCACTGTACTGACACATGCTACAACATGGACGAACCTTTAAAACACACTGAGTAAAAGACACCAGGCACAAAGAACCATACACTGCATGAGTAGGCAAGTCTACAGAGGCAGAAAGGTCTGTGGTTGCCCAGGACTGGGGGTGAAGAGGCTGAAGATAATGGCAAAAGATGTCAGGTTTTGTTAGGGCGATGAAAACACTCTAAAATTTATTGTGATGATGGTCACACAACTCTGTGAATACACTAAAAGTCACAGAATTGTACACTTTAAATGAATAAATTGTATTGCATGTAAATTACATATAAATAAACTTTTTTTTAAAAGTCTCCCTGTTCAATCTTCTCTTCCCCATTATCTCTGGATCATGACAAGACTCGACTTCCTTATATCTTTAGAAAGGCAGAGATTACTTGTAATCCTAAACAACTCTTCTTCCTCTTTATCTTTCTCCCTCTGCCCTTACAGTAACACAGGCAGTGCTTCTAGCAAACAACTGTGTAGCTATGTCTGAAGACAAAACATACACAACAGAGTCTAGCCACAGAATTGAACAATCTCCAACTTGTACAAATGGTATTTTCAACCTTCAATCCCTTTGTAAGAGGCAGCCAGAACAGTTCTCCACACCAGTCACCTCTCCCTTTAGCTCTGTACCTTCCTTCAGTGGGTGACAGTTCCTTTAAGTCTTCCAAACCAGGCTTGACATTCAGCAGCTTCTTGTAGAGAGCCAGGGGGAAGTGGAGGTCAACCACCGTGGAGTTGTAGATGGCTAGGCCACAGGTTATGCCAATCAAGTGAAACCAGTTGTGCTCTACAAAACACTTTTTAGGATGGATACAAATGTGTCAAAAAGAAATGCCGTATTTGTGGTCCTCAAAACATTCTACTATTTACCTCAAAATATTTTCAATATAAAAGAATAAAGGCTTCATTCATATTTAGTTATCTTCTGAAGCACAGAAACACACCTGACAAAAGCTCAGTTACCACCCAAAGATGCAATGTAGACAATGTTAAGCCTTTACTGCTTACCTAGAGACAACAGCTCATAGTCACCTAGAGCAAGACCATCCAACAGGACTTTCAGACAAGATGGAAACAGTCTATTCTGTGCCATCTCCTGTGGCAGTCACTGGCTACATGTGTCTACTGAGCACTGGAAATGTGGCTAGCACAACTGAGCAAATGAATCTTTAGTATTATTTAATTTTAACTAAAAGAAATTTAAATAGCCACATGTAGCTAGTGGCTACCTTTTCGGACAATGCAGGTTAGGAAAAAAGCCCTGACAGAAAATAAACTATAGTCTAGCTGAAATTAGAATGCCTTTTAAAACTTAGTTCTTCTATTGAATTTTCAAAAATGAAGCATTTGTATTATGTGTATTGTGTGTGTGTGTTTGTGTGTGTGTGTGTGTATGAAAGGGGACTCCCCCAAAAAACAGAATTATTTTTTGGATGGCAGGTCCCTTGTAGTACAGTCTCTCCCACTAGGTAAGAGGTCTAGGAACCCATTGGCATCAGTGTACCAGCAAGCGTTGTTGTGAGAAGCTGCGTTCAGCTTCAGCGAATGTTTTTTTTTGGAGATTCTTTCAACACATTTGCCCATTTCACATGGATGATTTATGAGTGCACCTGCCCACACCATGCTGAGTGTTCAGCAGTTTTGGCCAAAAACAGCATGACTCCCATGCCACACCCTCTCTATTCACCTGATATCACCTCTAGTGACTTTGTTTCCCCAGATGAAAAAAGTCCTCAAAGGGAAACGTTTTGCTGATGTGGAAGAGGTGAAACAAAAAAAACAGCAGAAGCACTCAAAGGCATCAAAACTGACAAATTTGAGAACTGCTTTGAGCAGTGGAAAAAGCATCTCCATAGGTATACTGCATCAAATGAAGAGTACCCTGAAGGTGACTAAAGTTTAAATATGTAAGAGTACACAATTTTTTATAAGTAAATTCTGGTTTGGAGGGAAGTCCCCCCTCATATGTGCATGTGCATTCATACACACATTGTCATTGTTAATATGTCATTTGATTACTGGCTTTCCACGTTTCATAAAACGAATTTATCATACCATGCTCCTTTTACCCTTCTCAGTTAATAAGACCTAGTAGCATCTGAACTACTAGAAATAGAAATGGGGCTGATGGCTGACAAAATGCACTATGAGGTCTTGGCAATAGTTATAAATGAAGGTTGGATACATTACTTAGGCATTTAAAATTTTTATCTGTATCATGTTCACTTTTCAAAGTTAGAAGTCAGGGGATTGGTCCGGCAACAAAAACAAGGTGTAATTTAATCCATCTGGTGAACTGTGGCACCACTAACTTACTGTATCTGAAAACCACAAGAGACTGGAATCTTGATAGTAGGTAAACATTCCATAGATGGGATTCAGAAGTTCTTTTAATAGCAAAAGAAAGAATTCCTTTGTCACACCACCAGCATCTACTGCTTCTTCACCATCAAAGATTACCTTAAAATAATGGAATAGAATGAATACTTCAGGGAAATCTTTGGCAAATTATATCTCTTTTTTAGAAGATTCTTTCTAAACTCAGGACACAGTAAGGAAGATGTAACAGAGAATCTACACTGATGCAATGCAAACTGCCAGGCATACCTGTGGATTACTGCTGGTAGCATAAAGTTTAACAAGGTACTTAAAGATACGTACAATTTTTACTAGGCGTTTCAACAGGTACAAAGAAGTCAGGAGTTTACCATACGTTCACAGAAAGTCTACTGTCTACTTAAGGGCAGTAAGGCAAACATAAAGGAGGCAATTAGAGAACACATTTTCTTTTCTTTTCTTTTTTTTTAATGTTCTTTTGAGACATTTCTATTCATGTCTTTTGCCCACTTTTTTTAGAATCAATATCTTTTATTATGATATTATCTAGATTTCTTTGATTTCTTTTCTGTGTTGTTTTTCTTTTCAGCACATTTGAGTTCCTTGTAGATCCAAGATCTACAAGTTCCTTATAGGTCTATTCATGTCTTTTGCCCACTTTTTTTATAATCAATACTTTTTATTATGATATTGTGGGGTACAGTTAAGGGTTAGGTATACAAATATGCTTTGTTCAGGCACCCTTGTTGATAAGAGTTGTCTCCCTGTCCCCAGAGAGATATTTACTACTGTTAATCCCATCTCCTTTCCCCTCCCCCCCATAGTTTCCCACTGTCAGTCATTTTCTTATAGCATTACGTTGGATGTTCAAGGTACACTATATGAATGAGAACATGTGATACTCAGATTTTTGCTTCTGTGAGAGATCACTCAGCATTACAGACTCTAGTTCCATCCAGGTTGCTGCGAAATTCATGATTTTATTCTTTTTTATGGCTGCGTAGTATTCCATCGTGTATATGTACCACATTTTTTTAATCCAGTCCTCTTTTGATGGACAGCATGGTTGCTTCCAGGTTCTTGCTATTGTGAACAATGCTGCAGTAAACATATGTGTGCAGGTATCTTTTTGATAGAGTGATTTGAATTCTTCAGGGTATATTCCCAGTAGGGGGATTGTGGGGTCATATGGGAGGTCAATATTTAGAGCTTTTAGGAATAGCCATACTGTTTTCCATAGAGGTTGCACTAGTTTGCACTCCCACCAACATTGTAGAAGTGTTCCCTTTTCACCACACCCTCTCCAGCAACTGTTATTTTTTGAGTTATTGATAATTGCCATTCTGACTGGAGTTAGGTGGTATCTCAGTATGGTTTTGATTTCCATCTCCCTGATGATTAGTGAGGTTGAACAATTCTTCATCTGTCTGTTGGCTGCTCGGATGTCTTCCTTTGAGAAGTGTCTGTTCATATCTTTTGCCCATTTTATAATGGGTTGTTTGTTTTTTTCTTTTCAGCACGTTTGAGTTCCTTGTAGATCCAAGATGTTAAGCCTTTGTCAGACCTGGTGTTGGCAAATACTTTTTCCCAGTCTGTAGGCTGTCGCCCTGCTCTCTTGATGGTTTCTTTGGCTTTGCAGAAGTTTGTCAGTTAATGAT